TCAGACGTGCACGGTGATGCTCTTACACCCCGACCTTTTCGGCTGCTACCGTGATGGCCGGGGGCTTCCGAAACCTCTCTCCACGGGTGACCAGGCTGCGCTAATGGGGGAAACGTGGCCACAATGTCCCCGCTCTGTGAGCCAGTGGGCGGCAGCGGGAGGACTCGGCCCCCGGTGATTCCTACCTCTCTGAATTCGCCGCCTAATGGACTGCGCTGTGCTTGCCTTTAACAGATGCCGACGTGCCGGTGAGCAGCAACGGGGAGAGCGATAGAGCCCATGTAAGTGTGCAGCATCCCTGGGCTGGGGGGCTGCTGGGGGGCTCCCTGCGCTCCTTCAGCTGTCGCTGTCACTGATCCATGCTGGTGGGCAGCTCTCCCTCGTGGCACCGATCCGGTGCCGCTGATGCAGGCCAGCAGCCAGCCCGGCCACCAAAGCCCCGTCCCCGGCAGCACCGAGCCTGGACCCTGACGTGTCGTGCGCTCCCTTTCCTCCCAGCACACTGACCCTGCTGGCAAGCGTGCCTTGGATCCGACCCGCCGCCCTCAGTGGATGTGTGCAGCCGTGCTCATCCGGGCTGGGGGGCGAATCCAGCCCCGAGGGCTGCTCTGGGGTGGGCTTGCTCAAGCGCAGCCCGGGGGGTCAGCAGCCGCCAGCCCACCCGTGTGTGCTGGAGCCACACCCCGGCGCCTGCTCTGCAGCACGGAGCCAGCTAGTGGCTAAATCCATCTCAGCAGACAAAAAAACCCCAACCCAATGTGTTTTTAAGGCTGCCGATGCAAATACACACACCGGGATTAGGTGCTTAAGGAGCCGGTGACGAGCCTGGTTAGCACCGCTCAGGGCCTGCAGCAGCATCGGCTCAGCCCTGGGGGACCCGGGCGGTGTGAGCATGGGCTGCGGAACGTGGGGACTGGGTCTCTCCATGGCTGCACTGAGCACCCCTTGTTCTGGGAGGGGGCACACACGTGCAGCCGTGACCCCCACGCTGCTTGTTTTCCCTGCGGGGCTGTGCGATGCTCTTATACCCCCGGCCACACTCGCGCCCCTCCCCGCAGGGGCTAGAGGAGGCGAGGACCCGGCTTGGCATCTCTGAGTGGGATCCAGACGAGCCTGAGCTGAGCATGCCAGAGCCAGTGCTGCTCGGCGTGGACAAGAAAGCGGCGGAGAAGAAGCGAGCAGAGAAGGTGGGAGCCAAAGGCAGCACTGCCGGGCTTCCAGGTAGGTGTGCAGGAAAGCCCTTCTCTGCCCCAAAACGGCCAGCCTGGCCCCAGGAGGCCACAGAGGCATAGACCCTGTCCTGCGTCCCCGGCCAGCCCGGGAGGCACTGTCTGGCCACGGAGCAGTGGCAGGGGGAGCTCTGCTCTCCACAGTCCCCTGGGAGCTCAGCGACATGGAGATGGGGCTTCTCATCCACCTGCCAAATCCTCCTCCTCCTCCTCCTCCTCCTCCTCCTCCTCTCCGCACTGCCCAGATCTG